TATAAATAATGTATTCCCATTAAAGAGTTCATTTATCATAAACATTTACCCAAAGGGATTGCAATTATGAATGTATCTACAAATATAGACACATTATTTGTAATAACAAAATAAGCCATTGCCCGATTTTTTTAACCAGAAATCATTGTGGGAGCTTAATCGATTACAAGTCCTGAGTAATTATTTGTTATACCAAGAACGTATATCGGGTATTGAAGTTTGCTCATTACTAAAATATTTAGATATCCCGTTTTACGGGTACCTGAAAATTCTCAGAACACATTGTGAACTTTGCAAATTACACAGATTAAATTATACATCAGTTCTATTCGTATTAAAAATGTTATGTAGAAAATATAACATTCGTTATAACCTACTGTAATCAGGAAGTAGACAATCAAGTTAAAATTTTTGCACGTTTCAGCGTAACTTATATTAATATAAAAAAATTGGTTGCAACTACACTCATTTTATAATGTTTTATTGCACACAATTTGTAGGAAACCGTCAATGGCAACATTTGCACTTTCAAGAATTAATAAACTTAATAAATAATTAAACTTCCTCGGACAGATGTGTTAACAGGAAGCGTTTGGAGAGATTGCAAGATATTAGTTACGCTACTTCTAAAGTTTTAAGTAATAATACTGGGCACAAAACATAAAATTCACTTTCAAATAAGGTTCTTTAAATGCTAGCGCCATCTATTAAGATCTATTAAAATTAAATTTAATTTTTAAACTAACAAGGAAGTTAAACTGTCAAATGTTATTGTATTCATTTTTTATAAGTAATTAGTTAGGCAACTTTAATTTATTTAATATTATAACCAAAGAAATCAATGTTAAATGTTGAGATACATGAATCCATTTAAGGAGAAAAATTCTTATTGTCCAAAAAATACCTTACTTATGATGATACGAGTATTCCCCAAGAGTCTATCCTGCATCAATAATACGTTATTCACTCCATAGTATTTATGGACGTTTATCTTCAATTTACCATTGAATGGTACTTGTTTTATTACTGCAGGTAAAGATCATAAATAGATATATGGCAACCGGCCGTTGTATTGCGGCAAAGAAATTGAAATGGATTTATTTGACAAATTTGACAAACAATCGACGATTGCATCCTTTCTTTTTTATGCTCAGTTAAAGAAAATGGTTGTATACAGCTTAATTTGTAAGTATAACTTCTGCTCTTCTTCTAACTCTCACATATCTCACTAATAATGAATACAGAAACATTCAAAAAACTATCCATATTTTGGTGAAACACTGATAAGATAATACATTTTAATGTAAAATGGTCAAAATATGTTATGAATATTTTCAGGTACCCACAAGATGAAGCTAAACATTAAAAGTTCTTAGTATTTCTCTTTCTCTTATTACTCGATATAATTAGTTATGACGTTATAACCTATCATTTAAGCCAGGGATGTGCCCTATGATGACCTATTAAACTATAACGTTTACTATGCGGAAGTTTTTTACGCGTAATGAACCTATTATTCATATCTTTCTTTTATCATAGACATTGTACCGTCGACAATGTAGTATAAGTAAACAGTGCAATGACGTCGATAATATTCTTTCTGAAGTTTTGTTTGTTTTTAATTAAAGCGAATCCTTTAAAATAGAAACTTTTCAGAAAATAAAAATTAAGTTGAAGAACAAGACAAAAATACAATTTTTGAGTAACAAGAGTATTAGTTGAGGGTATCATATAAAATGGGGAAAGTTGAAGACGGCGGTTGTTGAAACCGACGTCACGCGGTCTATACGTTAGTAACTGTAGTCGACGGCGGTTGAATACAATAATACAAAAATAAATTAATTTGGTAACAAGAGTATGTTGCGAAATTAATAATAACACTTATAACTTATAATAACAACTTAGGATAATAAATGTTGTTGTCCATACGTTTATATATACAGCTTTGTGAGAGTAATTTATTTTTTGGGCAGAGAAAATTTGCGTTAATATTAACAGCCATTTTTCGCCAGCTTATTATCAGCTCATTAGCTTATTAATTCCATATTTAAACTCACTTTGAAGTGAAATTTTTTTTATACTTATCGTTGTAATATTATAAACAAGTATGGACCTATTTCAATTACGTTCTAGCGAAAATTACAGCATCTAATAATTTGAACAGTGAATCACTACACTACAATGAGTGAATTAGTAAATATGTCGAAACTGATCTACACATTAGAAATATATTTTACGTAGACTTACATTGTCTATGCGTTCTTTATCCTAATATATACACGATATTTGTTTTCGGATAAAACGTATATACTTGATTTAAGTTTACACATAACGAATTCTCATGAAAAAATTCAGTGAATTTTGCTTTATTTTAGGAGTATCCATCTCTTTATGGTTACTCATCCCTGATGCGTCATTTTTCAAATGTATTTATATTACCTTTATACCTGTACCTAGTTCTGGCTTTTGCGTATAAAGCTTCGGAGAATAAATACTGGCATAAAGCCTTACCGATTTTTCTTTATAGACAAATCACCGAATTGGAGATGTTATTGACTAAAGCATTATATTTTTAAATATTAGGATAATTGTGTACATATGACCTTTTCTTAGAGTCAGCTGAGAATAAATTTATAACTCGAAACTGGTCACGAGTAAATTAAGCTTTCCAAGTGGTGTAATTAGAAATTAATATGTTTGCCATAATTTTGCTGGTGATTTTTTATATGGCGTATGCAACAAAAAATATTAAAGAAATATTATGAGATGCTTGTTAATGTTTATTTATTACTTCATTAAGTACGGTACTGTCACCTTGAGTGGACCGCTTTTGTGGAAGAAGAAGATTACTCGTGGTTTTATATATCAATGTTTAGTTTATATCACTAGATAACTTTTTATGGTATGAGATCTTTGATTTGTTATTTGGCAGAGAAAAATTTCTATCTTACTAAAAAAAAAATTTTAATTTTGAGTTGACCATCTTCGAAAAACTTCAAAAAAGATGGGGAAAAGCAATAAAAAGCTAAAGAACAGTAAAACCGTTCTGCATCGTCAATGGCTTCAACTGATAGATGCCACGAATCATTATCGAGCAGGAGAAGAGTTGGCGATTCTGTTGATGACTTGGCCTGATGAATGAAGTGGTTTATCAATTTTAAAAATTCAGCCTTCGTCATCCATGATACCCTGAGACATTCTAACACTGTTGAAAAAGAAGAAAGGTGACATCGAGTTCCTAGCACTGACAGTCAAAGCCATGATGATCATACTACCACTGTCAGCAACTAAATTTATAATTCGGACTTTGTTTATGGTTTTTTTATAGCAAAATGCTTATACACAGAAACACGTCTGTTCATCCCGACTCTTATTCCAATCCACTCCAGGTGGTGGTCCACACAAGGCGACATTACCCTATTTATTGAAAATTCATCAATTTAGCCGATTTCGATTTTTGGTCATCTTCTAGGGCTTCAAAGGCTACATCCCTTGTTAAATGTGAAAGCGATTTTTTATTATTTCTTTGTTTAAACTTGTTTAATGTTTTAGTAAATTGCTTTTGAACGTTGAAATGGTTTAAGTCTAAGTTTCTGTACACTATTTAATTTTGAAGACTTTTAATTACGAATTTTATGCCCTTTCTAAGTAATAATAATGTTCTAATAACAAATAATAAAATGTTCGCAAAGCATAAGGAATATACTTTAGTTTTGGTGTTGTCCATCAGCGATGATATGGTTTTATTACGCTCTACCGGTTTCAAGCAGTTGTATCGTCATCTTCAGGAGCAAAAGTTACAGAACTTTTATAAAACTAGTTCTTTTCATCATAAAATTTACAAATGTATCACTGAAAAATGTAAAATATTCTAATAAAATAAATTTCCACGCAAACGGCGTAAATTAGTCGTGAGTCACGAATATTTGCTAAATATTTATTATAATTAAGTAGTTATTATTAATTATACTGACTAGCAGAATAGTTATCATAACAAAGAAAGGTTCAAATAAATATAATAAAATAAAATATTGCAAGTTGGCTTCGTTTGAGGGTGAAATCTTGAAATTTAATTTTATAATCTCTCCAAAGTAAACATGACTGAAACTATATGTTATCATCAATATTGATGTGTTGGTAGTTCATTTAGATCAAAAGAAGCTGAGTTATTCCAAGAAATTAAGTTATCTCCTCCACTCGAGGAAATGTGTTTAATACTTGTTAATATTAAGTGTGACAGCTGTAATTTTTGGCATCAAAAAGAGAGATATAATATATTATGTCACATTTATTTGCTGTAACAAACCCGGAAACTATAAAATAACTCGATTGTACAAAAAATTATTTACCAATACAACATAGTTACTTCCTATATGTGTTCTATAAAATGAAACATTTTGTTACCATCGAACATGAGTTTAGGGTTTACAATTGTCAATAATAGCTGTAATTTTTGGTCGTTTACATCTAACGTTGTTTGAATAACGTACAATTTTGTGGTCGCCAAATTACCTTCAAATTGCATGATCTTACTGTCTTGATGTCTATATAATGTGAATCTCTTACTTCCTGCTTAACTACGCCAAAAATAAAAATCAAAGACTAGGTTCATTATTTTGGAAACTAATTATTGTTCAAAATTATGAAATATCCCAACATTAATTATAAATAATCGAAAACTGATTAAGTAAATTATGAAGCAACATTGTAAAATTCCGTTCAATATTTTTACACGTCTAATTCACTTTTGGTATAATAAATCAAAGTAATTAAATTAAATTATATAAAGTATTAGATTAAAATTTCAAGAAAATAAACATGAAGTAATTCTCAAATTATTATTTAATTAATATGTAATATTTTACATATTACTAAAATAATAAAAAAAGAAATATTTCTAGACATTTGTTGTAGGTACAAATGATTTTTTTTTTCAACCAAGCAGTGAATCGGTTAACGTCACGTGCCGCCACTGGATTCGTTATCTCAAGTCCCATTTCAACTGATAAGATTGCGCTAAATCGCACCTATTCGTCCTCTTTGTAGTTTCCACGCGCGTTCTCCGTGTTAGTGAACGAAACTGTGCATAGTCTCACCCTTTAAATGGACGGTTTTCGTGCTACCAATTCTGCTCAAAAAGCATGAGCGAAGCCCCTAACGAAGCGAAGGTCACCGACTATTTGGAAGTATTGAAAAGTAAAAGAGATAAGATTACTTACGCTGGAAAATACATGGATCGTTACAAGGATACTTTTCATACGGAGGTGTCTCCCAGGCCAGTCAATCGTCGTGATTATCGAGATTCCCTTTCGAGAAGTTTCCTAAGGAAACGTGAAGAAGAAAGGAAACAGCAAAACGCGACGGTCGATGAGGATCCGATAACACCTAAAAACAGTCCTATTTCTGATCGTAAAGTCGATTCGGAATTTAAACTTGAAACGTTGAGCAACCGTATTGAAAAACTTTACGGGAATAATGTTGACAACAATCAACAGAATCAAAAGGGAAAAGTAATATCACCATTGATGGGATATCGGAATAAATTGCCACTGAGTCCGGGAAGTGATTCTCGGAGAATTGTTCCCGGGAAAAACAGTAACGCAACGAATGAGTTGAACAAAAGCGAGAATGAATCACAATTAACCGGTTACAAACCGATATCTGGAAACAAACCCCCTCAAAAAATTAAGGACGTCGTCGAAAAATCTTCACCCGGACTTTTAAAAAAATTAATGCATAAAGATGAAATGAACATTTACACAATTAATGATAGAAAAGATTTAAAACCATCACCAATGGCCGCAAGAAGAATCGATGTTAATTTAGTTTTTCCAGACGATACAATGAACTCTCTTCAAAACGTTCAAAGTTACATCAACCATTGCGAAGCCGAAGCAATCAAAGCTCGGAATTTAGAAAAATTTGATAACATGTTAAAGAAGGTAAAAAGTCCCGTAACACAACTTAAAGAAGAAAACGCTCCGAAAGATAAATCTCAGGACATCACCAAGAAACCATTAGAACACATCCACGAACCGCTTAAGAGCTATAATGAAGTAGAAAATCTTTTAAAGCCGGGAGTGAGCGACATGCAAGCCGAAAATAGTGTCCCATTCGATCGTTCAAATAAAGCCAGATGTAGTGCCGGTGGAGAATCAGCTTATCCAAAAAAACCTACAAAACTATTAAGTCGAACAGCTTCTGATGCACACGACAGACCCTCTGAAAAGAAAGAAACTACAAAGAGTAACCGTCGTAGAAACATCGACGCAAATCAGGTACAATTTTTTCTCATAATATAGGGCGTTTACTTTCGATAATTTCGATAAAAAAAAATTCTGATTCATCGCTATCTGATCAATGTTTACTCTGATCCTTCAACGCTGACAAATTAATATCTCCGTACAGTAAAGTTCGATTCTCGATTTCAATACTTTTTCCCCCCAACTTCAATAGTGATTTATTAGCTTTTCCATTATGGCGTGACCTTCGTTAATTAGACTTAGATAAGACTATTAACGATAACGTTTTATCGCCTTTTATTATTTTTCGCGACAGGTGGCGTTTGAAAAAGTATTCTATCGAAAATGTCTTTTTGCTATCCTACTAGAGTATTCCTCGTGATCGAACGGTTCTTTCACTACGTCTTATACGGGCATAAGAAACTTTATAAGTGGGACGATCAGGTACTGAACGTTTCGTGATATCACCATTTTTGTCGTTTTGTTGATAACCACACAATCGAAGCTCTGTGCGCCAATTCTTTAATACGGTTCAATATAGACGACGTATTTTATTAGTAACGTGGCTTATAAATTTAATGGTTACAGAAATAAAAGGAATAAAAATATAATTTTTTATTACGAGATAATAATAAGTGATTGTTGATAAACATTGTTTTTTTCTAATCAAAACTTAAGAATTAAGAAGTTAAATTACGTTTCGGTATTATTTTTTAAATACAAATTAAATTTGTTATGTAAATTTCTAATGAAATTGTTAATGTAAATGTTTGGGAATTAGCATTGAAAACTAGTCGTAGGTTTAAATGGCCAGGGTATTTACCTTTCCGAAGGATAAACGCGTTTGCGTTGGCGTTAAAATCATCTACAAACCAAGGCTGATGATTTCATAATTATTTAATTGCACAAACGGTTTTATAAAACATTTAAATCGGTGTTGTAATGATTGAATCTTTTTAAACCCAAAGATTTATTAATTAATTGGTAGATGCATTTATTAAATTAATGAGATGATTCATTTCGAGGCGTTCATAGCTTAACTAAATGTGGTTGTAAACCTTGAATGTTAAAAAATGAATCATTAAAACATATGTTACGTCAATAACACTTGTGTAACTTATTGTGTTTACAAAAATTACTTTTTTAATAACTTTATTTCCATTGTGCGATAACAACTCAAAATGTTCTATCAAAACTTTCTCTTTTCAGAAAATTTTTTACTTCTTGCTTCAATAATAAAATATTAATTAAAAATTTCATTACGTTTTCGAATGCGTAATATTCGTTTGAAGTAACTCTCAAATTTCTATTTGCAACAAAAATTATTATATAAAAGGAAATATTATATTTTTTGTTATAATACTATTATATTTTTTGTTTCAGAGCGGAAACGATGGAACGGTGGAGTCCAGTATCAGAATTAATCAGTCAACCAGGAATAGAATACGAGCAGGCGAAGAGCCAACGATCGGAAAGTACAAGTTGCTCAAAACGATCGGAAAGGGTAATTTTGCTAAAGTCAAATTGGCAAGGCATGTGCCTACCGGTAAAGAAGTCGCAATCAAGATCATCGATAAGACACAACTCAATCCTGGATCACTCCAAAAATTATTTAGAGAAGTAAGTGAATGATTTGGTTATAGAATTAAATCTAATTTCAATCTTAATAGTTGAGTTAAATGATCGGTTCTGGAGGTGATTTTGTTGAATTAAGATTAAGTTTCTCACGATTGCTCCCCGCTTTTGTAAAGGCAGGAAATTCGAATTAATCATTTTCAAGTTAGGTTTAGTGGAACTTTTTTAATTCGAGCTTGATTAAATCGAATAGTAAATAATTCTAATATTTTTTATGGCAATTAGGCTTCAGCTATTTTATGTACCCCTAATGAAAGGCAAAAGTTAAGAATAAACTTAAGTGTTATAATTATTATATAATTGTTATTATGATAAAATCTTCTAACATTTTTTGTATATACAGTGAAGTTCTAACATTTTTATCTGTAGGCCAAAAAAAAACAGAACGTTATATTTGCTTGCAGATGTATAGGTACTTCAATGTCAATCATGTTTGATTTTGTATTAATTGATGTTGTTGCGCAACATTTAAATATGAAAATGTGTATAGTTAGGTATTCATATATTATTACATATTTGATTATAGGACATTCATTTATAGATCTTTCAACATAGGTCGGTATGAACACTAGTTGCATATAGTTGAGGTGTGAAACTATTAGGGCTTAAAAAAGGTTATACAAAATATTGACAATCAAACGTAGACGCAAAAAATCACCTCAAATATAAGTTATGACTAAAAGCCGAACAAAAACATTAGAACGAGAGTATAAGGTGTAAGGTTCGGTTGGATAAGTTTTCCTTTGACCATTCATCGAATAACAATTTGACGTGGATTACCATTAGCTATACACTGGTTTCAGTTCCCGGTGATGACTTTTTTTCGTTGAGCACCAAGTTTGGTTATTTGTTTTATATCCAAATGGTATAATTATAATCTATGGCTCGGTTTCTATATGAAATATAGTCTATTTTAAAATGTATTCCTGAAGTGTACCAATGTTTTCATTAACCTTTTAAAAAAATGAGTACTAAATGTTCTTCTGGTTGTCCAACAATCGTTCTCAATAAAGCTTTAAATAACTTTACTACTTATGAAATTTTGTGAGAACCTTAGCCAACTCACTCTATCTAGAAGGGAAACAATGGGATACAAGAACATAAGTTTTGCTAAGATCTAGATTACGCTAAGTAATTTTCTAGAACTGATTACAGATCGCTCATCTCCTACAAATGAGTAATGTCTAAGTTCTATGAACTCAAACCTATCGGATCATCATCCCATACTCACGTGCTACCTAATAACACCTTTTTAAAACACGTTGTAAAATTTTTCTTCCTTTAAGGAAATTATATAAAACATGACTCTACCCACAGGGTAAGTAGTAGTGGTCGTCGAGGTGATTTCACAAATATAACTTACTTACTGTTTAACATATTATCGCAGATTGTTATGCTAACCTGCCTCACAGTAGTAATTTTCTTCTAAATCGGTTTCTGGATATGTAAGTTTTATGGATATCGCGGCAGGATTTAACTGTAGATACCTTTCTTAGCCTTATTTTAGAGCTACTATAGCTGAAGCGATAGATACATCGTTGACTCACTCTTATCTGTACATAGTCTGGCAGGTTGTGCAAATCTCATTTATGTTTTGTTAAGTTTATTGTGAAACTTCACAAATGTGTTTTCACTTTGTGATCAAAATCCACGAGTCTTATGTCTATAAAATCAATTGAGAACTAGTTAAGGTACCGTAGCATGAACTATGCATTCTTGTATCTTCGATTATCCTTTGAGTCGTGTTCTTGTCCAAGTATTTCTATTGGGTGCTTAATTTGTATTTTTTCGTGGAAATTCTATTTAACATAATTTACGAGATCAAGTCCAATGAGTATCTTTCATTTTGGCAAAATCATAATTGCCTTGTGTCAAAATCTTCATAATATCAAAATCAGTTAAGCTACTATCAAGCATGAATTTTCCTAATAGTTACGGCAACGCCGATATTTTCCAAGAAGAAAAAGTTGATACATTTTTTAGAACAAATGTATCTTAAGCTCCTTACATTTTGTTCTTAAAACATCAGTGTATTCAACAGATGTTTTAACGTCAAGATCCTCAAATTTTACTGATGTTTGTAAACAAATGTGAGGTTACTATATATATATCATTGGGCATATTTGGGATAAAATAAATCAATCACCCAAATTGTTTTTTAACCATGTCGTTTTAATTTTCGAATTGAAACGACGATTCACTATATTCGTCTGAAAATGGGGGTTTTCTTCAAAATTCAACCCTCAATGATGATTGTTGTTGCGATCATTAATACATTAGACTTAAAAATCACATATCCACCCAATTTTTTGTTTCAAAATAGTTTATAAAGCAAAGTAAAGAATCTGTCATTTCTTGGTTCTATTAGTAGTGGTTGTGTTTCTCTATTTGGTCTATCAACGTTCCCAGGAACATATTTTCAAAGTTTTGTAATTTATTGTACATTATTTGTTTAGAATTATTTGTTAAATATTAATTTTTAAAGAATAGTTTCAGGTTTAATCTCGAAAATTTTCGCTTTTTCTACTCTGCAATAAATTATTTAATGATGAAACAAGTTTCAACTTTATTTTTGCCTTGCAAATAATATCAAAGCATAATAAGCACATAATAATTAATATCGTTTCAAAAGAAATAAATAACATCTTTTTTAAGCCTTCATTACAAGCGTATTAAGGTTAATAATTGATACGCCATTATGTTAATTTATTCAAGTAATCGTTCAATTAGTTACAGTAGTTTCATTCTAATTAACACGATTTATATATTAAAAAACGAATTCAAAACAGAAGTTATGTGGTAAAGCATTTTTAAATATAATTATTATACGTGAAGCTTACTTTATAAATTTTATTCAGATATTAATCTTAAAATTTCTTCTCACCTTTGTATTCCTCAAACACAATACATGTCGCTTCACTTGTTCCATGATTTTCATAATTTTCTGATTTTAAAATCAGATTCTTGCAAACATTTTGCTCCATTATGTAAAACTATGGCAATAAAACTAACACAGTATACAATTAGTAGTCCAGGTCCGTTAATTAATTATTTACTTATTATACCGAATTTTATCAGTTTTTGCTAGATTATCTGGGGCGAACTTCTCTACTTTGCTAATCCTCCGGTAATTCTTGATACCAGTTCGAAAACTCTTTTCATTCTCTATAATTAATGAGGATGAGGTGCGTAAGATGTTTTTTTTACTCTTAACAGCGTTCGTTCAGCATTGTATTAACCTGGGAACTTGTAACTTAAGATCCTATTTTTATGTTTTCTAACTTAAAATACCAATCAATATAAAACCCGTAGATTGTCCTTGTGGCTTTCATCCTATATTAATTCTCTTTGCTTTTTCAAAGGTTATTGAAGACATTGTGTACACGCAAGTAGAAAGAAAATAGATGTCTGTCTAACCTTGTTGGTATTGTTAATTCGGTCGATCATGATCTTCTACCTATTCTATCGCTTCTTAATGTGTACTGACTTAGACTTCTCACCAAGTTAAGTGGTAGTAATGAGCCCTTTTCTCCATTTCTATCGATAGTTCTACTATCACCTGTATGTAGACGATCTCTAAAGTATACTGGTATAATTATAGAAGAATCATTTAGCCATCGATTAATCATGATCTTGTTATAGTGCACGATTGTTTTAAGCTTTTGGTGTAGAATCTAAATGTTTCTCAAAGTGATACCGATAATATGTCAAACTGTTGTATGTACATACTGAAAACTTTTCCTCGATAGTTTTCTTATTACATTTTTGATGCAAAGGAGTTATGATGGACTCAACCTTATTTTGACGGCTAAGTTCATCTTATCTATAAGAACATGTATTCTTTATTTACATTCCCTGCGAAAACTTAGATTGAGATAATTTTCTTCCTCCCTGTGTCTGTCACAATCTGTGCTACTGGTTAATCTTAATCTCGGAATAGATCATGCTGATATAGTTTTTATCGGTTTATCGCCGTCATTGTTTAGATGCAACAATATAAATATTTACTTTCGTTTCATATTTGATCTGGATTTGATCTTGGCGAATATACTATATATTATTCTGGCGTGGTTCTTGTAAATAGATAATAAGACGACTTAACGTTACTAATACGTAGATGTCAAAATATTGTTTTTGTAATATTTTATTTAAAAAATTGTCTTTGGTCAACTGAAACGGTGGGAAAATATATTGCATTAAGATGAATACCTAAAAAAACTTTGTGAATTCAAGACAGTGACTAGATGAGAATATTATACAGTTTGATATCAGCAACTAACAGGAGGAAGGTCTACGACTTGAATTCAAACTTTCGGCTCTGCTTAAAGAACTAAAAAAAGAAATAGATTAGTGTTCACTTCAACAAGTACTATAATATTTTTCCCATGCACTCTCAGGTCTTAGACTACAGTTCGATTACTCATCTGCGCTGGTGAATGTCACTGTGGGTAGTCTTTCTTAATCGTGATGTAACGCTTGCTGCAATTACATGATTTTGAGCTTAAAATATTTTTATATTGCATTTTCATTTTATAAATAAATACAACATTTTCAAATTCAATTATTTTAGTTTCATCATTTTTGCCAATCTCTGTAATTTGTGAACAGTATAATTTCCAACTAAACAATTTAATATCTAACAAAACGTTTAATTTTAAATTAAATGAATACAAAATTTTGTACTAAACACAAGTTTTAGAGTTTCAATCGTTTACAACTCAGTGAACGTTTCAAATATAAATTTATATAAATTACATCAGCTTTAGCATCGTGTGGAAGTGGCCGTAATAACTTTATTCCAGGTACGACAAATTAGTATGCACTTCACGCATTCAATGCGACATAAACTTCAATATTACATCCGCGCTCCTATATATGACATGTAGACTTTTGTACAAGTCTTTACGACTTCTGTGGAAAGCTTACGTAAAAGTAACTTTCTTTCTGAAAAATACATACAAATACTTCGAATAACTATTATTATTTATATTTGTAAATTGGAAACCTTTTCTGAAATGACATTTCTCTTTAAAGGTAAAACAATAAATTGGTCATTAAAATCGACCTTTTCTGGGTTTTCTATATATAGAGTTGCCAGTGACCGTGACACAGTAAATATCGAACAGACAATCCCCTTTCGTTAATAAAATGTAACTAATCGATTCATAACATAATATGTATAACACTTATTTAATACGTTCGTAAATTAATTTGAAAAAAATAAACAAAATTCTACTTCAAACTTGAAATTTAATCCTATTTTATCTTAAAACGTACATTTAAATTTGCAAATTCATACTGTACAATTGTATTTATATATTTGACAAATTTGCTTTAGGAGATAGCTGTGAAATGCTAAGCCAAATGATTAACTACTTTAATGACGTGTTTATATGGTTAACTAAAACTGTGTTACTGTAATTAACACGGTTATTCTAAATTAAGATAGGTGAACCTACATTCTTCTTTCATATTGATTGATATAATTGTATTGAGGTTAGTAATGTTAAAGAAAATAATTATTTAAATTTAAAACGCCATCTATTTTCTTTTTAGATTTAAATATAAATTAACGCGTTCTTAATTGCATAAAATAATGGTAATTTCCACTAAAATGGCATTAATTTCCTTAAATAGATTCATTTACGTCTCTATGCCTTTACAGCCTCATCGACCTAAATGCCTTAACTTTTTCCATAAATCCGGTGTAAACCGCACGAAAAAAATAATGCATAAGAAATTGACCGCTTCGAAGGATTAGCATTGCAAATTTATTTAAATCATGTTCTAATATGAACAAAATTTTTAATCTATTACAAAATTATCTAACCGGAAAATACCTTCTGATTGATTTATTTTCAAACATGTGTGAAAGTGTAATTAATCATATTTCCAGTTGATACATATGCGTTACTCGGTTTTGTTATCAAAAGAGTAGAAGTAGATACCGGCATGTAACCCGGTACCTGAAAGGTTTCGTACTATATTACAACGCCATTTAATACTATTGGGTTAGAAAGGATTTCATGTTCGTGAAACCTATCTAAACTTATACGAGTCAAGACGATAAAGTTGTCATCATCAAGTGAGAACGCGAATTTGTGGTTGTAGACCTAGTTTTCTCTTCTGCTTGAAATAATGGATAGTTTAGAAAGTGTATTAAAACCATTTAGAACAACAAGATCGTTATTGTAAAATATGTTTCCAATATAAAGACAATTAAGATCACCGTAATAAGACACAGAGCAATTTATAGCGGTTTCAATAAGAAAAGTGTAAAAATCGATTAATACTTAATTTCTTTTTTATTTTTTAGGTAAGAATAATGAAAATGCTAGACCATCCGAACATAGTAAAATTATTTCAAGTAATTGAAACTGAAAAAACATTGTACCTGGTCATGGAGTATGCTTCCGGTGGCGAAGTGTTCGATTATCTCGTACTTCATGGTAGAATGAAAGAAAAAGAAGCCAGAGCGAAATTTAGGCAAATAGTATCCGCTGTCCAATATTGCCACCAAAAAAGAATTATTCACAGGTGAGATAAAAATTTTATCTTCAAAATGATTTCATTCAAAATTAAATTAAATAAAAAATTTTCATTCTTATAGAGATTTGAAGGCTGAAAATTTGTTATTAGACAGTGAAATGAATATTAAAATCGCCGACTTTGGTTTCTCTAACGAATTCACCCCTGGAAATAAATTAGACACATTTTGCGGAAGCCCTCCTTATGCCGCCCCTGAATTATTTCAGGTAAGAATTTAGTTAGAACAATTAAAAAAAAAAAAACTTTTAAATAAATATTGTATTTATTTACCAACATTTTATTTCACTTTTTTTTTTTAATGACTCATAAGTTTGCCAACACATCCAATAAAAGATAAGAAATTTCTACAATAACAATCATCAATTTCTTTTTCATATCCGTTCTATAAAAAGATAGATAAATAATCTTTTGATAATGATCGATCAATAAAAGGAATCATAAAAAAATCAACTATAAAGAAAAAAAATGTTTTTACATTTTATAATGAATCTCTCCAAAAGCTTTTTTTTTTCTTTTTAAAGTTAATTTATTTAAACTTTTCAATTAATAAAAATTGTTATAAACGTGTCATAAACTGTTAAAATGATGATTGATGCAAAACAGTTTTCAAGTGAAGAAATAAATCAAATGACAAATAAACTTATTGGTGAGATAGAATCGGCAGTGATACAGAAATGATGGTATAAAAATACCATCATCAGCACTTTTTTGCATTGATGTTAAGACTGAGTTTAGATCACTTTTTATACAATCTTGGACTAACGTTAGTTACTAACAGCAAAGAAATACAAAGGGGACTGACTCCTGCAGGTCATTTGTAGTGATCGTGTGCTGATAATTGAGTACATAATATTGTCAGTTTTCTCCAAAAGCGCTATAATACAATTATATTGAAGTACTAGAGGATACAACATGTAAGAAGATATTCTAACTGATATGTAAGTGATGCTTGAAGAAAGATTGATGAAATGGAAGAAAGTGACAAAAACGAAGTGATGAAAAGTAGCTCATCAACCCTCTTTATAATCTCTCTTTATAACTCATTGAAAGAAGCAAAAAGGTCGTAACAAAGTTTAGTCCGAAAATCAGTTATTCAGTTTAATGAATCAGTTCTTGAGATCATTTTCAACTTTAACCACTGCAGTTGTTTTTTTCTTTCTTTAACTCAATAAGTAGAATAGATATAAATTAGCATAATCCAACATTTGATATAGTGCTGGGAAGCAAAAATGGACGAAAAGATGAGGAGGATGAAATAAAGAGAGAGGATTAAAGGAAAGATGTAGAAATAATAGTACAGTATAAAGCTTAACTAATGTATGAAGGGTGTAAATCGCTACGATAGATAAACGACATACAACGAGATATAAACAAAATAAGACTGAGGTTGGTGAAAGCAGCATAGTAATTAGGGATAATTTGAGCGCAAAAATTGAAGAAAGTGATGGCAGAGAGGAACGTCTGAAGGCAAGATGCTGAATACGGAAGGTCGGGAGCTATTAAACTAGACAGCATAAAAGAGGCATGGAAATGGAGAGGAAATGCTTAATGGGATCGAACACGTCTTGACGAGGAATGTCGTCTATTTAATACTTTGTCTATGTAATACAGATTCAAGAATTCAGTAGCATCGGATTACTAACTATTAGAATGGAAGTACAATAGGAGAGGGGGAAAGAAAACAAAAAGAAATTAGTGAAACGTCATAGAGGGACTACAACGAATGATAAAAGTGTAAAACCACAATGAAATATGTAGATGAAAAAAACGTGACGATAAACAAAAAATGGAGACCAAAATGATATTAGAATGGATAATACCAAAACATAACGATGGTGGTGTGTAGGAGATAGCCGAGGTCGTAAGAAATTTTCTAAATGAATCTTGCACAATAGCCGACTAGGATGAGAGACTCCACTGCAATTGCCACTAAGATTAAATAGTGGTAATAATATAGAATCTGCCATAAAAGCAGAAATTTTGACAATTGTCAACTTTGAACGTAAGTCCTTTGCAGTCTATTGCCAAACCTCGAGATGAAATTTTATTAGCATTCTGGATATGGGTCTCCAAATATCTTATTACTACATTTTTTCAGATAGATCTGCATAATAAAAGTACGAAGGCTTTCACGGCCGGTGTTAATTAAACTAAATCTAGAACTAATACTAGCACTATCACTAGAACCAACACTAGACACTAACTTTCGGATTAATCCGTACGTCTTTTGAAAAAATGTTAGACGTTTCAGATACCATGTTGCAACCTTCTTCAGAGACAATTTCAAAGTGAAACACTTCGAACGACATGAACTTGTATTATAAAATTAAATGTTAGATTATGTTGCTGGAAACTAGATCTCCACCTCCACAAGACAATTGGTAATGTCTTTCAATTAGATAAAGAATCCTCCACCATGGAAACATGAAGGAGGAAGTAAAAACAACAATAGTGAGATCTACAGAAAAGAACTTCTTTGGTGGGGGGTGATAAAATAGAAATGAAGTCGGTATAGAAACTTTTTAAAGAAGTACAGACGAGTTAATTATCATAATAAGAGAGATACAAATCTGAAAAATTGGACGTTTACAACAAGTTCAAGAAGATGGGGGAATATGGGGGGACACTGGAAACAGTGAAATATTGAATGAGAGATTATACTGGAGTAGAAAGAATGCCAGTTATAAACAGGGGAGACAACTTAAAACTTACGCCCACGTATTTTATCCGCAATTAAATATACATAAATATTAATTTTATACAAAATACCGTTTTTATTCTTGAAATAATAATTTTACATTTTTAATCATTGATAGTATCCTAACATCTAAATAAGATTTAGATGTCCGTCGAGGTGATTAATACTACCCTAGTCAATCGAAAAGAAGTCAGAAAAATGTAATATTTTTCCATGGGATTCTTGGAAAAAACCAACCCATATTCCACGAAAATTATAATCTCGACATTAACATCAGAATGAATAATTTTTGTAAAAGTAATTTTTTATGTTTATTAAAATACTAAAAGAAAAAAGTGGTCGACATATTCAAAAAATTTTTATACATTCAGTGCGAGAAAATACTAAATAAACTAATAAAAAGATCATTATAAAATAATTAACTGTTTAAGGACCACTTTTACCACCGTCTTGTTAGATTTATCAAGCAGATAAATCAAGTTATTAGTCAAGGAGAGCGCTTAAATTTAGTACAATCATGGTTACAGCTTTATCTTGTCTTCACAGATTTATCTGTTTGATAAATTTAATAAAATAGCCCTAAATGAACAAAATTTATCCAGTAAAAAATATTAATAAAACTAATAAAAAATTATGAATTTTCTTTTATAGGGAAAGAAATATGATGGTCCAGAGGTAGATGTCTGGTCATTAGGTGTGATATTATATACATTAGTATCTGGTAGTTTGCCATTTGATGGTTCAACATTGAGAGAGTTAAGAGAACGCGTGCTACGCGGAAAATACCGTATACCATTCTATATGAGTACAGACTGTGAGAACCTGCTCAAGAAGTTCTTAGTTTTAAATCCTGCAAAACGGGCCAGCCTAGAAACCATAATGAAAGATAAATGGATGAACATGGGGTACGTTGTTGGGTCAGTGAGAAAGTTTCTACCTTTTGCTGTTGTATTTTAGTGTTAGTCGAAACAGAAAAAGAAAACCAGGAAATTGAATTGATTTATTTTACATTTGGCGTTCAATTTACTCGTCCTCCTTGTTCTATTTCTATAACATTTTTTATTCAAATTTTACCTTGCTATTATTCGAAATTTATTTGTAGATGACGTGGATCGTTTATCGGATCTCGTAATTTAACACTGAAATCGACAACAAAATGCGTTAGCTACCAGCTGCACCCGCCACTCTAACTATATAGTATTAGTTTTTTCTTTCTTTTCCTTCTACTAATAAAACTCAAAATCTAATCTAAACTCGTGGGTATGTATTGCTGTAGCTAATTCGACACCAAATGCACAAAACTTTTGTTCTAATCTACTTATAATCTTCGTCAAAGCATTTGATCATCTTTTTCTCTTATCAATAACAAGCCAAATGTGTCCTGAAATCATTTTAACAACAGTTACATTTCCTTGGTGCAAGAATGCTAAGTGTTTCTTGTGCACATACAAAAATTTCTCGAATTTTACAAGGTTTGCACAACTAGCACTTGCATTTTCGTTGTTGCATGATTTTAGACTAGAATTTACTATAAACAATATTTGATAAAATTGATTCAATTACATTTTAAATACTTTTGTAACCCAAATTTTCTTAATGTTTTTAAAATCGTTCATCGCTTGCAACCAAATCTTTACATTATCATCTTGGTATGTATGTAAATAATGTCTCTATTTTAACACAATCACGATCATTTTAATTCTATTTAATCACTGCAAATGTAAACGATGATATGGGAGTAAACCAATGTTTCTTTTTAAATTTTAATAATCATTTTAATGTATGTATTTTAGTTATGAAAATGACGAACTAAAGCCCTACACAGAACCTGAACCGGATATGTCGGACCATAAACGCATAGAACAACTGGTAGGTCTAGGTTACAATAGAAGCGATATAGAACACTCTCTGGAATCCGCTAGATACGACGACGTTTTCGCAACGTACCTTTTATTGGGAAGAAAAAGCACAGATGTAAGTAAAGGAACTAATTTGAATTTATAATAAGATTAAAATGATGAAGTTGTGGAGTAAAATATTATTTTTTTTATAGCCTGAAAGTGATGGTAGTCGTAGTGGAAGTAGTTTATCATTAAGAAATATGTCAGCACAGCAAAATGCAGGAGCACCACAAGCGACAGCTCAGAGTCCATCGCACAGAGGTGTCCATAGATCAATATCGGCCACAAATGCAAAACCAAACAGAAGGGCATCGAGCGGAGGTTTGTCATCGTTTGTTACGCTCTATGACTAACTTACTTAACTGAAGAAACTTTTAAATTTAAGACTTATTTTTTTTATTTGTCTCTATGTTATTAAATAACCGCATCCTGTTTATTCGTGGTCGTTTCTTCACGTTAATGTTATGGTAGTTTTTTTTGTGTCGCTTTGGAATTGTTCTCAATCCAATGTGCCACTGATTAAAATTTTTCTGTGTTGCGGTAACTCCTATAGGAGAGACTTTACGTGCAGGACCCCAACCGCAAGTGGCCGTGCCCCAAACCAACAACCACCAGTCGGGTTTCAAAAGGCAGAATACAGTCGATAGCGCTACCATCAAGGAAAATAGACTGATTACGCAGCGTCCGGCCAGCGCCCAACCTAAACCTGCCACCGAAAACAGTAAGTTAAAATAAAACAAAGAAAAGTGTTAACACTTCATATCTATTATAATCTTCTATCTTTTTTTGTGCCTATAATTTTTCTGGAATTTTTCTTATCTTTATTCATTATCTTTCTCTTCTCAGGATATTTGTGGCTTTGTTACAAAATCATTTAGTAAATATATGCATATTAATAGTTTCCTTGTATTTTTTCTGTCTTACTTAGGTTTGCAAAGTCCAGGTAAGCCACGAACTGTAACTAAGAGCAACACGGTTACCACAAAACCTCTAACTTCAGGCGGCTCCGTCGGTAGACGCTCTACCGTTAGTTACGAACCGAAGAGTGGCAGCAACGAAAAGACCAATCTAACCACGGAAACGCCCAGGTACGTTCACGTTTTACGACCATTTAAAAAGAAAAAATTTGTTTATAGGTTAATAATTAATAGTTTTAATTAATTTTTTGTAAATTATTTATAATTAACCCTATTTTTTTTTAATAATCGATCTAATTGTTACTGTGTGAGTTACCCTAATGTTGTTTTCCTTTCGCTAACCGCGTGGCCCCAGTGGTTTGGGTAGCACCGGAGACACCCTCAGACCCAACAAAGGTCACGTCAAATCAGCTTCTGTTAGTAGTAGCGGAACTGAAAATGCTACTGATCCCCTTCGTTCTAGGTATGTTAGAATTTGCGAATTAGAATTTGTCCATTAGTTTTTCGTATTTTACAAGTTTCTTTTTATACCACAGCACATAATTTTTTGTATAAACATCAAATGTAATAATAACCGTAAAAGTAAAAAAAAAAGTATAAAAATGTAAAAACTTGTAAATGTTAATTAAAACATTACATAATCACACATCATAAGAGTTCGTACATTTTTTGAAAAGTTTTTAATTAACTTTTGGAAAACTTATCTCTCTTGTTTAACGACAAACTACGTAGACTCGGGTTGGAATTATATTTACTATACATTAAAATTGTTAACGTTCAAGTCATTTCAAACCAAGAAATTCTTGCTATTACAATATGTTTAAGTTTCTATTAAAGTTTCAGATAATTTTGTAGATCCAATCCGAATACACATTAGAACAAAGGAAAGTTATAAGGTTGTTTTTTAACTTAATTGATTTTAAATTCAATATATTTTTCTATAAAACGACTTGCGCACAGAGGGAGATTTAGCTTTTGTTGGCGCATATAATGGAATTTAGCTTAAACGCATAAAATAAAACGTTTAAATGCTTGAAAGCTTTAGTTACTTAATTGATATCTAAAAATTAAGCAATATTTGTTTACTAGACATTATTTTGTAAACATACGGAATCCGATACAAATTTCTAATTAACCCTTTCGTCATTTGTCATCTTTAAAATCTTCAGTATCTGATGGTGTTAGTTTCATTACTTCATTCAGAAATAAACAACTTTTTTTATAAACTTTTTTATAGTTATCTAACAGTGCAGTTTAAAAAAAGTTGTTTTTGTTATTCAGCCAATTTTCACAGACCGTTTGCTTGCACAATTTTTCTTTCTATTCGCAATTAACACAAAGTATTTTATATATCGTTTTGGTTCGCTTCTCCCATGCATTCAATGATCTGTTCTACACTTTGCTATGTAGAGTCTACCCACTGTGATATGTGCTAAGTTTCCTTAGGCCATGTTTTACTTCTTTGTTGTGGATGTTGTATGTTCTTTAACTTTACCTAAAGCTGATGGTTAGATGTGTAAGAATAGGACACGAAGAACACGAAACTGAATGACTTCAATTTAAATAAAAGTTTTTACCTTGTCATATCATTTAGAAGCCTAATGCTAATAACCCGAATTATTAGCAAATGGAATATATTTTAATTCGAGTATCATATTGATGCAATGTTATGTCATTATTCTAAAGATATCTAAAACTGGCTTTAATAACACCACATACAATAACCCTCCTATTCCTCCAAACGGCAACTCTCAAAACTTACCTTAAATTTAGTTAATAGTGAGCTTTTGTGCTTCACTGACGCTAAAGTTTTATCATGGAGAATGGAAAGCCGAAATTGAGAAACAATTAGGACGGAGGATTGAGAGAGCTTGATTTGGAGTTTGCTGTCTAACCAGAGACATTTGCTGGATTTTGCGTTTCATAGACAGTAAAGGACCAATGACAATCTCTTGATTTAAAAGCGCAGTTTAGTATAGTAGATTGTAGTTTATGATGTCTAATAATAACGGATTATTAGACATCATTAGTCACATTTAAAAATTGTATTGTGCTTAAACTTTAAGAACAGAAATCAACTTAATTTAGTTAATTCCAGTTTTCTGTTAATAAATTTTGCACCTTGCTGGATTACACCTCATCTGTCCCAAATTCGTATTGCCTGGAAGTAATATTTTTACTTATGCATCCTTTTCATTAGAATTATTTTCCAAAGAGTATGAACACATCTTGCGCGGACACTTTAAACATCACAAAAACCAATCGATAACAATAATCCATCCATAATCCGTGAAAAACGATTTTAGTCACTTCCCGCTCAAGTTGTGTTAACAGACTTATCCGTGTTCTTCTCCTGGGCATAGAGGTAACGTTTCGAAATTGAAAATTAGGATGAGATAATCATGGTGCGTTATTCGTAAGGAATTAAATGAGACCCAGGTATTAACTCTTGTAACATACCACTGGTAGGTTAACCAAAATATCTGGTTTTCTTACCAAAGGACGGATTCCCAAAGCAGTGTGATTAGATTTTTGTAGTCGGCAAATCCTTCACTTGAGTTACGTTATCCTAGATTTGTTTTCCTCCAATATTGGAGTGTGTTGTGCTCAAATAAGTCGAAGAAATCTTTGTTTTCATCAACATCAAGTCCACACATAAGTTTGTAAATCTTTATTACTTGCAAGTGTATCCTGTAATAACAATCTCCGATAATGCACATTTATTTAAGGTTTTTTTTGCTTCGCCCACTCCCAAAATTCGTTACTTTGCGTTAAATTCATCAATTTTGACATAATCATTATACAGGGTAAGTTTTTTTCCATGTTTAATTGGCAAACTGTTCAGATAGTACGCTATGGAAACAATTGATAGATACGTTTGGTTATGACAGCTTAAGGCAAACGTAAGTTTCCATGATTTCGTACCATTAGCTTATTATGTGTGGTGCCCCATCGTGTTGAAACCATTGAAACCACGTGCAAATGACGTGTCTGCAGGAGCAATTCATCCAACATTATCGAACTCGTTTCAAGATATCTAGTTAGCCATGCATTTCATCCAAAAAACAAAAAGCTCATGAAACTGCAATTCTTTCCCTATTTAATCGTCTCTCTATTTTTCGAGATCTCCATACTAAACATGGAAAAAAACTCACCCTGTATAGCCCTTATGATCATACTATGCTAATGTTAATGTAATTTCATGGCAGTAGACGTGTTTCATTAGGTATTGATTGCATTCCCAAGTTAGTCTGGGATTAATTTTATGCTTTATTAAGCCTTCTCAAAGCTGATGTATTCTTTGAGTAAATGTCTCGCCTTCGAGTAAAGATAACTTCCAGAGGAGCTATATTATTACCGCTTTTACCATTTTGTGTTTGCCAGTTTTTGGTATCTGGTGTTATTAGAGTTATATTGTTTTTTCTCATTTTCTTTGTTTTCATAAAGTCGTTTCCCATTGCAAAATGGTATTGTGATTATCAACTCAATTTTACTACATCTACTCTACATATATCTTTAATTTGAAAATTACGGAATTAAAAATTTAAAAAGGTTTTAATGCCGGTTGTACGAATAAAGAGAATGGTATACATAAACCACCTCTAATTGTATTATGCATTGTTTTACTTTTGTCCAGCATAAAGCTTTACGAGGTTGTAATCCCAAAGTTTTCTTTATAGCTTGTTTTGCCATCTTCAAAGATTCTTTTACTGTGTTGAGGAAGCTATAAAGTTTTATTTTTAAATTGCTATAGCTAGTCCTCAAGGTAGTTTGTGATCGCGGCGTAATCTCCGTTAGATATATTAAAATTTTTTCAGTTGTGAAGTTAACTGAACTACTAATACTTAATGTCTTCTGTATGTAGGAGTGTTAAAAATCTTGATGCTTATTTTGATACCAAACTAGACCAAAGTTGTATTTGAAAAAACATTCTTTATCTATAATTTTGAATTGGATTGAACTCATAACTTAACATATAACTTATTTTAAAAGAGAATTTTCGATAAATTTATCAACTAATTGTACTTTTACGTTTATTTTTACATTATTTCCTAAGTGTTTGCAAAAAATTATGCGATTTTATACTCGTGGTAAACTTGTAAAATTCAAATTGTTTCTTTAAGCGATTTTCGCATGGATTTTAAAATATTTAAAAGGTTTAAATCTTTTCTTTTACTTTTTTCGTAAATTGTAAATATTATGTGACCAAGGTGTTTTATTTATTTGTTTTTTATACTTTAAAAGCACGATGTAAATAAAATAATTTATTTATTTATTTTAATATATTAGGACTGAATTTAAAAGTTTTAGTATCATAGAAGTTTGAATGTATGTATAAATATTACCCTAAAATAGTACTTCCTAATTCACTTTGAATTCAGAAAAAGGAATACAGACTTAATTGATGTGAATTTATTTTCTTTAGGTATACAACTGGTATGATTTAAAAGAAATTTTAGATTTAATTTATGGGATATGTTATGTTAAAAACTTTCAATCGACATTTTTTTTATAGCGGTCATACGAGTGCATCTCCAGCGACAGCACGAACTCAATACTTCCCGAGAAACGCGTCTTCGCGTAGCACTTTCCATTCCGGACAGACGAGACCGAAACTCCTGTACCCACAAGGACAATCGACCGGAGACTCACCGCACTCAACCAGAACGTCGTTCTTCTCTAAAATAAGCTCCAAATTCTCCAAAAGGTTAGTTCAATTTTCTAAAATTAACGAAAAATGAATGCAAAGTTGCCTACAACCACAAGTAATTTTAATTAATCTATATTGATTACATTTTAAGTCTTGAACATATCGATTCAATTAATTTAAGTAAATTTAAAAATACATAATCCTAGTTTTAATGAATTTTTAGCGTCGTTTATTGTAGTTACAATTTTAACTTTACTAATGTTACATTTTTTTGGGGTAAAGGTAACTTTGCATGTCATCATAAAAAAGGAGTGCTTCCAGTATGAGTATTAACGCTGTTGCGCTTTCTTTGTTTATTTTTATTAATTTTTTTTATTATGTACTTTTGATTAAGTAGTAGTACTACTCAAGTTCGCAACTTTATTGTAATCGTTGATGAACGAGTTGATTTGATTTAGTTTTCACGAAAATCGAGGAAATCGTTGTAATCCAAGGCATGAGTTTAGTTTTTTTTCGTTTGGAAGTATCCATTTTTTTAAATATGTTCACTTACCTTATATTATTTAATAAATTAATATCTCCAATTTGTTTCATGGTTAATGCGCCTAACCAACCTTCCGAAAAGTGTGTGTATTTTTACTAAACCTTTTTATCAATTTCCTTTAACACCCCCACTTTTTCTTTTTATTGTCTAGATTCCATTTTCGGATATTATTTTTTAATTTTCATCTTATTTTCTATGAATTTTATTAGAATGAAAAGATTGATAAATTAAAAAATAATATTCGATAATGTTAACTGAAAATTCGTAGTGTATTTTATATACACACGGTGTTTAAACAATTCTCAAGCAAATTTGTAATTTACTAAAAATTTGTTGCTAAATAAACCCTACTGTTAATAAATTTTTTAATGATTTAATTTGAATATACAGGGTGATTATATAAGTGACTTAAAATATCTGGAATATACCGGAAAATTAATAAATGGGAATATTCCACTTATTTTATGGATCCAACCTGTATACAAAAAAGTCGAACTTAATGTTGCTTTTGGGATAATGCTTTAAATGTTTTAGTTGTTAAATCTGTTTTATTTGGTTTATTATGGATAATCATTTGAATTAAATGAATCATATACTTGCGATGATTCAGAATATGTTAACCCATTATAAATCGCACTTTCTTGTGCGAACGAAAAACGTAGAAAAACATTTTTTTATTTTGTTGTAACAATCAATTAATTAATTAAAATCTTCAAGTAACTGATAACACCAATTTTTGACGATTTACCATAATTAAGAATTGTCCAAAATTGTTAAAAAGCTTCCTAAACCTGTAAAATCGTATATTATCTAGTAAAAAAAATTATTTCAAATTAGAGTCGGCACAAAGGCATGATTTTGAAATACTTACTTCAATCCTTTAAGATTGTTGAAAGGTAGGACTGATTTACTAACGTTTAATCAGCATCTTTACGAATCTACCTCTTTATCAATCTGTTCTTATTTAATCAACTTATTGAAGTGCCCATGTGCTCTTAATATTTTTGGTGTTTAAAAAGTTAAAAGCTGGTTATTTGCTGTGTCATTAATACAGTTATTGTTTTTTGAAATTAATTGCATTAAAGTTGTACTGACCATTTCTATGTAATATTTGTGCATTTGAAAATTTTCAATGAAATAACTAATGGTAAAGATTAAGATTAATAACTATCATAGGTCTAGGAGATACTGGTATTTAGGAATAGCAATAGTGCTCGTGAAACCGAACATATTATATTTACGAATATCCACCGAGTAAGGAACCAATCTGGCATATTCATTTTAATATATGACAATGATGTATCAATATCACAAATTACTGCTAGATACATATTAGCATTGTATAGGTATAGCCGTAAATCTTTCCCAGCAATCATAGAATTAAACATGGTGGAGTACTGACTACTGGTACTCGTCAATGAATTATATTAAAAAGTAAATAACAAAAAACTATTCTTTTAAATCAGTCCACACATTAAACGCTTACTATCGGAACGTATAGAATCTTTTTCCTCATAATGGGCATATTTAACAAATGATGCTTTATCACACTTGATTTAGTTGTATTAATGATGGCATCAAAGCAGAAATTGCAAAAAAATCTGATCTTGTTTCTGAATCGTAAAGCTAAAAACTGAAACAAAGTCAATGGTTAAACCTTCCAAAAATGTTGCGTTACCACATTTTCTCCGGTTACACCACAATTGTGAGTTATCACTTCTACTAAGAATAAGACGATTTATAAGCATAACGTATTTACGCAGCTGGTCATACTCGGTCAAATATTTCTTTGGTCAGGTTTTGATGCCGAGAAGACTTCTAATGCTTTGGCTATCAGAACGTATACATGATTGGGTAGTTGCGTTTCTAGGCAACTCGTAGCTATTTAACAACCTAATTCTCATCAACTATTCCTCAGAGAGGAAAAGTACAATGTAAACTAGTGAATTCATATTTCATATTCTATATCTCATTAAAGTCTGTTCAGATATTCTCCAGGCATAGCAAAAAATATGATTTTTTTCAAGAACTTTGACCATCAATAACTGCCAAGCGAGACACTTTTTCCAAATCAATCTTTTGAACCAAAGAATTTCGTTGTACCATTTTCTGTACTTCTTTTCGGGGCACCCCCCTGTATGTATTCAAGTATTTTTTAGGAGTTACACTAGCTCTGTCATATCAATCTGTCAGGATTTTTCCAAAGCTTAGGTGTGTTCCTAATAATATCTGTGATTGGGTATTTTTATCCGAAGATAATCATTCTGAGATTGGTTCACACAAAACACGTCTTCTCCTCGTTTTGCACTCAAGCCGTTCAAACAGTAGAGTTAACTAGATTGATGTCATAAATATATCGACTTATTTTGCACCACTTAGTTGAAGACACATTTACCACGCTTTGGACTGAGCTGTTATCGCTGATAAGGTATCGCTCTTAAGCATGTCTCACCAGTTCAAGACATTTTTGTGGGTGTTGCCTTTAATGGATTTGATAATGAGTAGCTAAATAGGTGGTGATTATCGGTTTTAGACTTTTTAGACTTATCAACGAGATTATTGTCTGACCAACCTCAATGCCTTTTTGGATTAAGTCGCAATTATGTTTTATGGCCTCTTTAATTGTCATATAGCAATCAATTACTAGTCCGATGGTTATTGTTGCTATGCTCAATGCTAAAATAATAATAATGTCAGATTCATGTTTTAATAGACGTTATTTCAGCTTGTTTTACTGTGGAGTTGCCCGGAAAGATTCGAAATTGTGAGATTGCTGTAGGTTACCTAATTTTTTATAATACCTTCTAATAAGGTTGTGTTAATCACTGCTCCTGTCTAGTAGAGGGTCGAAATGGTCCGAAAGTCCGAAACCTTCCTAAGTGCTATTGATTATTTTCTTAAAATGGTTGCCAACTTCACTTCCTGAATATATTAATAAAGAGTAGTAGTGGCGATGAATTTTGAAGTTCTGCCTCATCAAACCACAAATTACTATCGATTGTATTTTGTCCATATAAATCCAGAAGAAAACTTGGGGTATAAACCCTAAATGTCTCTTGATAGGTCTGCGGCTGTAAGCGACGCAATCCTTATTCGCTCAATTTTCTAGATGAAACGTCTAACTTACTGTTTATCATAGCAACTACTTGTCCTCTGTAGACAGTTTAACTAGTATTCTGCTGAGCAATCTGGAACTGCAAATTACACATGTAATAAGAGTCATTTCTGTCTTCTTGGGGTTAACAGACCGAGATTGTTTATTACACCAACTCTCAATTAAGTTGAGTGCTTTTTGTATCCTGTCAAGAAATACTATATTATTATTATAATGATAGTCCTTCATTAGGTATTCTCCAAAGTAAATTTTATACATCCTGACTTCTATTTCTTTTAAAAGCTTGCGGGGGGAATTCATAATCCATGCTATTCTTTATACATAGCTAGCCAATGATCCTCCAGTGATTGAAAAGAATATTTAGTTATCAACACATACATACACAAACGTCGTTTGGTGCGGAGAATCTATATCATCCGGGACAGCTAATCGGGTCGCAAATATTTGTGATACAGGAAGCGTTGAAATAAACAACAGATGATTATCCATCAAAACTCTGCTTACCGGAAATCGATTTTGAAAGGGATTAAATGCAGTTATTTATAAAAGACCACAGAAATTTAATTTGTGGTGTGGGCAGATTAGACTTCGAACAAGATCGGATTATATTTGCCGTAATATGTCTATAAATAATCTCTGCAGGAAATCACTGTATTTGCAAAATTTAACCCTCCCAATGATATCTCGGTAGTCTGTATTAGTTGGTGGAGTCTCGGCGCACGTTCGTAAGCATAATGGCCAAAAACTCTGCAGACCTTCAAAATCTTTGAAAACTGTTGTTTCGCCTTTGATACATCACCAACTCTATCGGTTTTTGTTAACATGATATGCAAATTGGGCTTTGATTAGTATACTTCTTTAAAAGTCTTGTATTTTCAAATCACAAATATTACATAGAAATGTTGAGTGATTCATTAATTTCAATATATTTTATCACTGCTAAACATCATAAAAATATGTTTAAATCACAATTTAGGTTTGAAAAATAACCTATAGAAATAGCGTAAGGCGCTAATTTAAAAATAAAATGCCAATTTTTTTAAATAAAAGAGTATAATATTTCTGCCACAATTTAAAATTATGTTTTTCTACGTTTTTTCATATACCATCATTTTAAATTAAAAAAATATCCAATACTCCCCAAAATCACCCTATTTGTTCCTTATCTGCACTGTGTATGTTTTATGTTATTGCTTAATTTCACTTTTAGTATTGCTTCAACCACCTTATCAACTAAAATAAAATGCAAACAAACCCAAAAAACACCCTGTGTATGTGTCGCTACGGTTTTCTAAAAACTTATAAGTGATTTCTTTGTTTTTTCTCTTTTTATCTTATTTTTCTGTTTTACGAATTTATTTTTGATAAAAATGATAAATAAAAAACAAAGATTTTGCT